CAAAACGAAAGCAGCTTTGGCTGATTCAGTTTTCTTATGTAAAAAGAGCATTTAAACATAACCAGCTGAACGTCAAACCCCGCAAAAGGAGCTGTCCCTTCGCCAGCTTCACAGGGGAAACATTTTCTCTGTGATTCTCTCTTTCAGCGAGTTGCAGACCTGGAGCAAGAAAATGCTCTCTTGAAAGATGAGAAAGAACAGCTTAACCACCAAATCCTGTGCCAGTCGAAAGGTAAAGACCAACGTGCTTCAGTTTTCATTTCTTCCCCACAGCGATTTCCCCCAAAGGCTCCCAGCAAGCGCGTGGTTGGTCGGGATGCTGCAGGGGGGAACGGGCCTTCGTAGGGGAGAGATGACAGGGAAGAAGGGTGATCTTTGCGCTCCCGCCTTGACGTTTTCTTTAACGTGGTGAGACAAGGGGGTAACGGACAATATAGTGCAGGGGACTTGGCGTCAGGGAGACCTGCACTCGGAGAATGAGTCTGCCCTATGCTACTGCGTGGCCTTGAGCAAGCCCTTAGCAGTGGGACTCCTCAGTCTCCTCATCTGCAAAATGGGCGACATGGTACAGAGCTCAGTGGGCTCGTCTGAGGATTGAGACTGCGTGGGAATCGCTCACACTGGTGCCTGACACACACTGAGCACTCGGGAGCCGTGTTCCTGCTTGGTTTTAAATTTGTCTTTCGCATCCATGGTTCCCGCCACGGTTTCTTCTACCCAGTGGCCATCTGTTTCTGTTTGCTGAGGACGGGATCGTGGGTCACATCCAGGTCACCTGGCTCAAGCACCCACCGGCCCCTGGGCCGCTGTCGACCCCCATGTGCTGCTGGACCACAGGAGCAGCGGGCGTCCCCAGCCCCCGGTTCGCACCTGACTCGGCGTGGCCTTCAGCAAACCACGCCCTCTCCCTGTCCCAGGTTCCTCCCCTGGATGACAAGAGAACGGAACCGCTGGGTTGCACACACCGTTTTTCATTTCCCTTTAAAGATGTTTCTTTCCACTGATTCAAGTTTTGGTGGGAGAAACGCCCGCCTGTGCTGGCCTTGTGCCTTCCCTCCTTCCTAACCTTCGGTCTTCAGCCTCACACCTCCTTTAATCTCCCCAAACTCCAAGAACCAGGAAGATCAGGAATAGGGGAGAAACTCTGGAACAAAGCCTGGGCTCTTGAGGGAATGCTGCCTGCAGTTGCTGTCACAGTTGTCACAAGAGAGAAGCTGGTGCGTTAAGGAGGGAGCTGTCAGGCAAGCCTCCTGCATCGGTCCCCCGCTCCCCGAGGGCAGGGTCGTCTGTCCTTCCTCCCCCACCCCCCAGCAGACTTGAGCCGTGGTAACGAGCTTTCCCTTGCTCGACAGCAGGTGCGAGAGCTGGATGAACTCACCTGTGCCTGTGCCAGGAGCTGCGAGAGCAGCCTTTTGACGGGAGATGAGCCGGTACGCGCAAGGGGAGCCATTCGGAAGGAAACAGGGCTGCGTGTGCTTGCTTTCCAGATGACTTTGCCCAGAGCTCCGTCAAAGAGAACCTCCTGATGAAGAAAGAGCTGGAGGAGGAGCGCTCCCGCTACCAGAACCTCGTGAAGGAGTATTCACGGTTGGAGCAGAGATACGACAACCTCCGGGATGAGATGACCATCATAAAGGCAAGGAGGGCGACCTGGTGCCCAGCAGCCCACGGCGCGGGCCCCGCCTCCGGCTTCCCCGGACTGGTCTTGCGCAGCTCCAGTCCCGGGCAGCTGACACAGGCCCAGTACCTCTGTGCGAGGTGTCGCGCGTCCCTGCCTCTCCTTCGGGGAGTCAGTACAGGGGGAGCAGCCGGGCAAGCAGTCACGCCCAAGGACGGCTCCAGCTTTGGGGTCTTACATGGATTTCAGTTAGGAGTGTACGTGGATGAGTTCTCTTTTTTTTTTTTTAAATACATCTTTATTGATTTCAGAGAGAGAAAAGGAGAGGGAGAGATAGAAACATCAATGCTGAGAGAGTCATTGATCGGCTGCCTCCTGCACGCCCCCCACTGGGGATCGAACCCGCAACCCGGGCGTGTGCCCCGACCGGGAATCGAACCCCGACCGCCTGGATCCTAGGTCAATGCTCAACCGCTGAGCCATCCCCGGCCGGGCTGGATGAGTTTTCTTGTTTCCTGTTCCGGGAACATCCCTGTGGCAACAGTGTGACTGCATTAATGTGAGTGCAGGGAGGTCCCTGGGGTCTGGTCACGTTTCATGACTTACCGTGCTTTTTTATGTAAACATTCCCCCAGAAATGCATATTCAAACGAGATTGAACGGTTAATTGCGTAGAAACCAGGAAGCGAAGCTGAAGAGAAACATAAAAATCTAAAACGTTCTTACCAAGATCAGTTTTTACTCTCAAAGCCAAATCAGACGCAAGGGAAAAAAGGTATTTTTAAAGGAGCAGTATGAATGGCAACCCCTCCTTCCATTTTCACAGCCCAGTTGGTGGAGTGCAGGTTGAAGTCGGGCCATTAGGGCAGGTTGTCAAGAGGGAGCCCAGTGGCAGGACAGTTGGCACTTTCAGGGCAGGACTGGGAGGTAAGGTGATTTCCTGGACTTTCCATAGAGATTGGCCTCAGTGTCAGGGGTTTGTATTTCATTAAGAGACGAGGGGCCCAGCCGGTGTGGCTCAGCGGCTGAGCGTGGACCTATGCACCAGGAGGTCCTGGTTCAGTTCCCGGCACGTGCCTGGTTGCTGGCTCGATCCCCAGCCGGGGGTGTGCAGGAGTCAACCGATAGCTGTTGATGTTGGTGTTTCTCTCTCTTCCTCTCCCCTCCTCTAGGAAAATCAATAAAAAACATTTTTTAAATAATAATTTTTAAAAAGAGAGAGAGACAAGGTAACCAATCCTTACAAACAAGTCAAAAGTCCAACCCTAGGGCCTACTGTTCTTTGAAAAGTAATAGTTCTTATTACTTTAGTTCATTATGATTTTTCTCCTTAAACAGCAAACCCCAGGCCACAGACGGAACCCGTCAAACCAAAGTAGCTTAGAATCTGACTCCAATTACCCCTCCATCTCCACATCTGAGGTCGGGGACACAGAGGACGCCCTCCAGCAGGTGGAGGTGAGTGAGGCAGGCCCTGGGCTGGCTCCTCCGCAGAGAGGGTGCTTATTGTCTGTGGGGAGCCCCACAGAGGTTTACTGTTCTGTTGGTGGTGATCAGCATGCCCAGGGGGCTCATTCTCGACATAAGGGCCACTGGACTAATCTGAAGTTAACGTTCACTGTGCAAAACAATGCATTATTTTTTGCCCTACCCACTGTCCAGAAAACAAGGAAGGAGGTAGGTCCTGGGTTCCTCTTGCAAAGCTGAGAAGCGATTGCAGAGACATGCAATGGCTGACTTAAGAAGGAACAGCTAAGCCATTAGAATAGATACAATTTATTGTCCCCATTTAGTATCCCAGTGCATACAGTAATATCAGTACTTAAGAACATTTTCCTCCATGACTTGGAAGCTGGATAAAACTCAGGACAACAAATATTTGCAGAGCGACTGTATTTTTGTCAGTAATAGCCTCTTAGAATTGCTACATAATGTACCACACAGTGGACTTTATAGTCTGTGTGTGATTTTGTCAAAGGTACATAGACACACAGTCTTTCCTCTGGCATTTGAAAAGAAGAAAATCACAAGCATATAAAATCTTATGAAGCACGTGAAGATAGACTTGGAGGAGAGACGGTCATAAAAACGCACGTGTTTGGAGCATGTCTGTGCTGGGCATGGCTGGGAGGTGCCCAAGAAACAGCAGTGACCAAGCCGGAGAAGGTCCCCACCCTCGCAGAGCCTGTCTGATGGGGAGTTAGACAATAATCAGTTGATGGAAGAAGTTTGTATAATTGCAGGCACTGTTCAGTGCGATCACAAAAAGTAAAGGATGGTAGAGTGAGTGACGGAGTAAAGAGTGGGAGGGTAGGAAAGGGGGCCTTGGGATAAAAGGTCTGCGTTGGACAGTTCATGTGGTTTGCTGTTTGCCGTGAGCACTTAGTAGGCGCTTTATAAACGCTGGCATAAGGCCTTGGTTTTGCCACTGCACTCTCAGTCAGCTGGACTCCAAGACGCACCACCCATGCGTTTGTGTGCATGGCATCTTCGTGCAGACATGAACTCCCATCTGTGGGCTTGTGTTCTTCAGGGAAGCTGAGACTGGTTCTTGGTATCGGCCAGAGCTGCAGGCACGGTCCTGGCTATGCACACAGCACGCATTGAATGCTGGTCGAACCAAATTATAGTCTCGTATGTCCACACACGTACTTTAAAAATCCACGTGGATATGCGCACCCAGATGCACACCCACACGTGACAGAACTCGGGAGGGCAACCCCAGGCATGAACCTACAGGGAAATGTGGGCAGTGGAGCTGCGAGGTCTGTGGGAGCAACGGACCCGTGACAGGCCACCTGGTTCCGTCTCAGGTGCCACCGTGGTGGTGGCAGCACACTTACAGTGATCGGTAACCACACCGACTCTTCGCCAGGAAGCGTATTTCCTGAGTTTTACGGTTCCTGTGGGATGAGACTGTTTTCCAGAGGGGAGCTCTTTTAACTTCCAAATAAAATGGCTGTGTCTTCATCCATTTGTTCTTGGAATATATGATCGGTCACCTTACATGGCTCACACAGGAGGAGTCTAAATGGCTGAGGCTCAGATGTTATCTAGACAGGAAATAAGCCTGAAGCACCAGCTTTCATATGAGAGGGGATGGTTGGTTGGCGCTGGCTTTATACCTGAGACGTGGATTGATGTTTGGGAGGAGAGGAAAGACCGGCAGCTGCTACAGTGGGAGGCGAGGAGGTGCTCCGTGTCCCCTAAGGCATTTATTCTATTAAAATCTCCTCTTCCCTGCTCCCTGCCTTTCGTTGAAGGAAATCGGCCTGGAGAAGGCGGCCATGGACATGACAGTCTTCCTGAAGCTGCAGAAGAGAGTGCGGGAGCTTGAGCAGGAGAGGAAGAAGCTGCAGGTGCAGCTGGACAAGAGAGAGCAGCAGGACAGCAAGAGAGCCCAGGTGCGGGGAGGGCTGCAGGCCCGCAGAGCCGCGCACTGTGGTGCTGGCGTCAGGACAATCCGCTCGCTCCTCCCGGGGTGTGCACGTGGCAGGACGTCACCGCGGGGGGTGGTTCTGCTGCTGGGTTTCAGAGGGTAACTCTGTCTTGTGTTGATGTCATAACTGAGTCTTCTCTGCAAATGTCCCACCCGGAGCATCCCAGTCGAATGGAAGTAAGCGTTGCGGTGCCCCCAGGGCACAGGGTTTCCGCTGGTGAGGCTAGAAGGGAGCCGGTGGCATCGTCACCCACTTGAGCAGAGGACCAGGATGTGCGATTGAAGTCTAAATCCAAGCAGAAGTCAAATTAGAGCAGAGAAAATCGATTGCCCTTCCCAGCTGGAATCTGGGAGGGGTCGCGTTTAGCCCCACTGGGTTGGGGGCAGACCGAGTTTGCAGTCACTCACCCTTCTTTCCCCGGTCTGCACCCTCACCTCAGTCCAGCTCATCATCAGTGTGTGGAGTACTGAAAACATAGTTTGGTTCCTTAGTGTCCCCGGACGTGCCACTCACTCCTTCTCAAGGGCCTGTTGGCACCTGTGCTACGCTTGGCACTCTGCGGGTGCCAGGCTTGTATTCAAAATGTTCGTTAAACGAGAGGAGGTAAAAATGTAAGAGAAAGCCCCAGCCATCGATGAGTCTGCAGGCCAGTTTGGGAGGACCAGATATAACAGGTGAAAAGTAGAAAATGACATTGGTGGTGCTCAAGTAAACGCAAGGGTGGGTGCAGACAGACGTGCTGCAGGACGAGGGGGCCCACCGCCGTCAGCACTGACGCGAGGAGGGCCGTCTGGTTTTCTTGGGCAGGATAAGGGTCACTTCTAATGCGATACGAGGCCGATTCCAACACGGGTCATATCATTAGCTCACCTCACAGTGGGTTTGCCAAAGGCCTTTGGTCTGTTCTCAGGCCTGAATTGCCAGTTGTGGGGTTCAACCCGCTCCCCGTATCCTCAGCCCTGCCTCCCCCTGCTCCCACCTCTGCAGAGTCTCCTTCTGCAACACCCGCCTTCCTTTCCAATCAGATGTGTTACAGACGCTAGTTAATTGCTGGGGGGTTTTCTTGAGTAGTAAGTGGGGAGGTAAATCTTGCTGATGGATTTAAATCTCTCAGGTGGATTGGATTCAGAATAGCAAGTGGAAAGATTAAGTTTATAAATGACTCATTCAGTTAGAAGAGAAGCTGCCCTGACAGATGAGTGCGAATGAAATATGTGCAGAGCTGCTCCGAGAGCATCAGACAGTGCCTGACCTGAAAGTTTCCGGCCCACCCAGCTGCCCCTGAAGATTCACTCTCTCGGTTCCCTGCCATAGAAATGCCTAATAATTTTGAAATCCTAGCTTTAGATCTTTTGTTTGTCTTGATACTAAATAAGAAAGGATATATCTTTGCTTAAAAGCTAATCACTCAACAAGACTTAGGACTGTAGGCTTGGCCCGTAGCCCTGTAACATGCACTGAGGATCTCTCTTTAAGGAGAATGACCTTGTCTCTGACAGGGCTAGTAAGAAGGGCATGGTGGGGCAGGGGAGGTGATGGACTCCCTCTACAGCTCCCGGAAACCAAGCTTTCAGAGGTGTTGGTCTTGGATCTGCCCTTGGTCCCAAGAAGAATGCTGAGACATCTGGTTCTTTATTCTGGAGAGATACAGCCCAGGGTCTCAGCTAGAGAGAGAGGCCAGCCTTTGCAGAAGGAGTGGCAGGGAAGTCTATAGGATGTACCATCGGTGTGGGAGTGACTGTGCCTGCCCTCAGGATGGGGCCTCGATGACAGCCAGCTAGGTTGTCCCCATACTTGACTTCTCATCTATCCGGCTCCCTTTCCCCAGGCCTGGCAAAGTCATCTTGGCCACCAGGGTGATTCTAATGGGCCGCCCACTTAGAGACATGACAAACGGCACATACTGATGTTCACAGCGATTCAAATTTGAGTAAATAATCTCTTTTCCAAGAGCCTAATGTGCTCAGCAAATGTCTGTGGTCATAACAAATCCATGCTACACAAACCACAAGCACAGGCCTCTCCCACGGGAGCAGCAGGTTAGCAACTGGCCCTGAACAGTCACATCCCTACTGCTGATGACGGTGAGAGGTGAAGTGGAGGCTGGTACCTTGGAGAGGTGTTTTCCCAGGTGGCAGGGCTAGAAACAGTGCAGTCAGTGTAGCCGTCCTTGATGTGGGAGGAGCTGCGGGAGGTGCTCAGACCCATGCCCAGTCTCCAAGCCTGACGCACACCTAATCCAGCCACCTCCAACTCAATATTGCTGCACTGTAGATAATCTAATTAAGCACTGTCGGACTTTAGTTCCAGAAACCCATCTTATTCAGAGATTATCACCCATTACTTGAAATCACCCCAAGCAGCAAGCCATTTATGGTGTTTCTGTCCCTTCTCATTGGACAGGTGAATAGCTCCCAAATAATTGTAGGAATCGCTGGCCCTGCTGAGTCCTAATGGACTAGCGTTCCAGTTGTTGCCGTCCACACCCCCTAGGTTCAGAGTTCTAATGTCAGATAGCACTAGCTGAGCAGCAGAGGGGTCACCTGTCACACTGTCAGCTGCAGGGTGACATGAGGAAGCCAGCTTCTCCACAAGGTGCTCGGAGTGATTTAGTTGGGAAAACAGAATACACATGTGCACACACATGTACCAAAAAATCCGAGTAGCTCATTAATCTCATTAATAAACATATATTTATTATATATTAATTAACCTCTTAAGTACATGAGTCTTACAGTGCTAGTGTCCTAGGGCTGCAGAAACAAAGTACCAGAAACTGGATAGCTTAAAACAACAGAAACTTATTGTCTCATAGTCTGCAGGCCAGAGGTCAAGAGTTAAGGTGTTAGCAGGGCCATGATCTCTGAAGGCTTTTCGGGAGAACCTGTTCCAGGCTCTGTCTGAGCTTCGGTGTTGCTGCAGTCGTTGGTGCTCCTGGCTTGCAGCTGCATAACTTCAGCCTCTGCCTCCATCTGCACGTGGCCACCTCCCTATGTGTTTGTGTTCTCCTTTTTTATTTTATCTTTATTTTCTGTTTTTATAGATGTATTTTTAAATATGTTTTTATTGATTTCAGAGAGAGGAAAGGAGAGAGAGAGAGAGAGAAACATCAATGATGAGTCATTGATCGGCTGCCTCTTGCCCGCCCCCTACTGGGGATCAAGCCCGAAACCCTGGCATGTGCCCTGACCCAGAATCAGACTGTGACCTCCTGGTTCATAGGTTGATGCTGAACCATTGAGCCACACTATCTGGGCTGTCTTCTCTTCTTTTAATGACAGTCATAACAGACTAGTAATGACCACATCTCAACTTGATAACGTCCGCAAAGACCTGATTTCCAGATTAGGTTAGAACTTCACCCTATCTTTTGGGGGGGACTTTACCCCTTACACAGTGACACACATTACGTGCCTGTGAGGATCATGTGAATATAGTTAAGGAGGGGGTGAGGGTGGGCAGGAGGGAGATGTTTTTGGAGAGCTTCATGGCGTGGCGGCCTGACGTCATGAACTGCATTTTGAAGGTGGGAAAGAAGCACACTTGTGAAAGGGCAAAACAAGAATGTTTTGACCATAGCTGGAAATACTCCTGTGGAATATCTGCTGTGTAGTCGGTGCTCACCTTTCTGCCTCTTTATCCAAGCAGATGGAACCAGCAAAGAATGACATTGATTTGGACCAGGATGCAGATCTAGCCTACAATACACTGAAGGTAAGGCTCTCGAACTCCCACCCTGTGGAGGATGCCAGCAAAGCCCCAACCTGCTGATGAGGAGAGCTGTGAGCTCACCATCCCCCTTCCCACTTTGAAATGAAGGGAATTTTGTTTTTACTATAAGGAACTATAATATAGGTTAATAGGAAACTGTTTCCTCTATTCACAATACTTCTGACACAAAATGTGGGGCTTCCACACTAAGCAATTCTCCAGTGGTTGAGCATCGACCTAGGATCCAGGAGATCCGATTCGATTCCCGGTCAGGGCGCATGCCCGGGTTGCAGGCTCGATCCCTAGTAGGGGGCGTGCAGGAGGCAGCCAGTCAGTGACTCTCATCATGGATGTTTCTCTCTCTCTCCCTCTCCCTTTCTCTTTCTGAAATCAATAAAGATATGTTTTTTTAAAAAAACGGGAAGGTTGCTCTTAGTTTCTCAGGAGGATGGGAGAGGACAGTGGAGGAGACCCTCATGGGAGAGGGCTCCGGACTCAGGGACTAATAGAGCGGGTCGCTTGCACTGTCTTCCAGAGGCAAGAGCTGGAGTCAGAAAATAAGAAGCTGAAGAATGACCTGAATGAGCTGAGGAAGGCCGTGGCCGACCAGGCCACCCAGAACAACTCCACCCACAGCTCCCCGGACAGCTACAGCCTCCTGCTAAACCAGCTCAAGCTGGCCAACGAGGAGCTCGAGGTTCGCAAGGAGGAGGTGCTCATCCTGAGGACCCAGATCGTCAGCACTGACCAGCGCCGACTCGCGGGCAAGAGCACGGTAACAAGAGGGAAGCCACGGCCGGGCTTGTTGGGGGTCACGCTGGGTAGTAGTAGCTTTGGTGTTTTTCTAACATATCTTTACCCATGCGGGTCTTAAACCTGCAAGAGTAAATTCTGCACTAGGGTCTCTTCTAAAGGCAGAGCAAGGGACATGCTGTCCTCCCAGCGTGACCTTTCGTAGGAGACTTTGCTGGAAGTTTCTGGAATCTCCTAACGTTTCTCAATATGAGCATGTTCAAAAGGAACAAGGCACAGAATTAGGGACAAGGGTCACGGCCTGAGTAGCCATCCTGGCTGCTTTTTCACCTCATGCCTTGCCCCTTGCTGTGTGTACCTGGATTTTGAGGTGGAGACGGTCTTTCCTCTCTCAGTCCTCCCAGGGTGGCAGGTCCAGCTTAGTGTTTGTTCCTAATGTTTTCACCTTCTGGGACGGACTGGGGGGGAGGGGCGCGGAGGCCACCCGGGTCACTTCTGAACGTGGAGCTTGGGCAGCATGAGGGTGGAGTGGGGGGGACTTAAGATAGATTTGGTCCGTCCTCTGGACTTGGGGTGCTTTCTCCTCCAGGGACACTGTCCATGCCATCTTATCCCCACCTCCCACACTCTGCCTGTCACAGCCAGGCCTTGTGACTCTTCCAACATGACCTTTTAAAGTCACATCCTGGGCCTTTGTCTTTTCCCAAAAGCTCGTTTTTATACTTGTGTCTGGATATAAAATCATTATTTTTCAATTAGAGGTGACATTCAATATTATTTTATATTAGTTTCAGGTGTACAGCATAGGGGTTAGACAATTATATAATTTACGAAGTGTTCCCCCCGATAATTCTAGTACCCACCTGGCACCACACACAGTTATTATTGACTGTATTCCCTAAGCTGTACTTTACATCCCTGTTACTATTTTGTAACTGCCAATTTGTACTTCTTAATCCCTTCACATTTTTCACCCAGTCCCCCAACCACCCTCCCATCTGGCTACCCTCAATTTGCTCTGCGTCTAAAGTCTATTTCTATTTAGTTTGTTCGTTTATTTTGTTCCATATATAAATGAAACCATATGGAATTCGTCTCTCTGTCTGAACTTATTTCACTGAGGATAATACCTCCAGGTCTATCCACGATGTGACAAATGGTAAAATTCCCTCCTTTGTGTGGCCAGCATGCCATTGTATGTGCCACATCATCTTTATCCACTCATCTGTTGATGGCATTTGGGTTGCTTCCGTATCTTGGCCATTGTAAGTAACACTGTAGTGAGCATAGGGGTGCATATATCTTTTCAAATTAGTGTTTTGAATTTCTCCGGAGATATAAAATCATTTCATGATATTGTTTGTATAACCAGGGTTATTTCTCTGTTTAACCTGGGACCTCTAGGAGCCGAACATTAATGCCAGAACAAGTTGGCCTAACAGTGAAAAGCATGTAGATCAGGAAGACGCCATTGAGGCCTATCATGGGGTCTGCCAGACAAACAGGTAAGTCCCACCTCACCTGTACCTGGAGGAGGCACTGGCAAAGGCAGTCCTGCCCAACCTAATCTGTGAAGGCCACTCCTTGGGCACTGACTATGTGCTCAGCCTGAGGGTCTTATCTGTTTTAGGAGATAAACTAGAAGGAGTGGGCGCAGTGAGCCCCATGACCTTAGGAATCCTGCTGTTAGCTTCAGCAAGACTCCAGTGGCACTTGGGTTGCTTCCGTATCTTGGCTATTGTAAGTAACGCTGTAGTGAGCATAGGGGTGCATATATCTTTCAGATCCTCTGAAAGCATTTGGAAAGGGGGTGTCCCCGGGAGGTGTGACTGTAGGCAGAGGAAAGGGAAGAGTGGCTTTTCTCATTGAGTGGGAAGATGGCACAAAGTGGCCTACCTATAAATAGGAGGCGAGGCCTGCCCCAGCTGCTTGCTGCAATACCACCTTTACTCAGCCTAGCTGGCGGGCACTCCCCAGTGGTGGCCTCATTGCCCATCACTTAAGAAAGGAAACCCAACCAGGCACTACAGAGGTTGGGTAGGAGAACCTGACCACTACCATATTGGCTAGAGTGAGACTGCCCTGGATTTTAGTTACGAGCGCCTCTGGTCCCTCCTCAAGGATGAGCCACCCAGGGTTAAGGCAAAAGAGTGACTGTCTGTGGGAGGCAGCAGGTTCCGGGATGTGGGACAGAGCAGGGCCCCGGGGTCACGTGGCAGTGCTTGAGAACAGCACTCCACAGTCCAGTCGCTTACTACCGAATAGCTACTTCATGACTGCTCAGTGCCTCAGTGTCCTCACCTGTAAATTGGGGGCAATCATAGCCAAATACTTCATACGGCGATTGAGAAGTTTAGGTGAGTTAATCTGCATAAAGCACTTACAACAGTGCTGCAGGTGTTAAGCATGCAAAAAAAAAAAAAGCTCATGTTGTTACCACTATTGCAACCTTTGCCTCCTGTGTCTCTCTGGGCACTTGTAAAAATAGAGCTGGCCTTTCCCTGGTTACCTTTCTCCTTAACCTCAACTTGCTGAATGTTGAGCAACCACTAAGCATCTGTTCAGGATTGTTGAAAACAGCACACACTTCCATAACATGTCGGTAGGTGGCACTCGAGTACAATTTGCCGTCTGCAGGAATGTCACAGAATAGCTGACTTCTTAGTGGTCTGATTTCCAGATCTTTTCATCTAGCCCCTTTCTGCACATGGGGAAACTGAGGCCCAGAAGGGTTGATCTGGCCTGTAACTGAGTTAAGGTAGAATCCAGAAGGCCTGACTTCCAGGCTGGGCTGCTTCCAGCCCAGTCGTCGGCAATCAGAAGGCTCCCCAAGAGGAAACTAAATTTATTTCAACAGAGATGCAATTCTTTCCCTGTAAGGAGGGAGAGAAGAAATGAAGGTGCTAAAACTAGTCGAGATTTAGTCTAAATTACCTTGGGTGAAGATTCAAAATGAGGTGAATAAGAAAAATGAGCCTGGGGATGTTTATAAAAGAAGGAAGGAAGCCGGCAGGCCTGGTCCTGACTAGCAGCCGTGTTTATCTTTCTGATCTTCAGAACCATCTCTGTTATCAGCTCCCTTTTTCTTCATCCAAATGGCTGTCAGGGATCCAGTCCAAAGTATAGGTTTTCCAGGGGCTGCTTAATACCCTGGATTTGTCTTCCTTTGCAGCAATAATGATGGTGATAAAATAAAAATAGCTTTTCTGATATCTTAAAATAATTCCATTCCCAGCAAGCCCAGGGTACAACAGGGAACTAATAGCCTGTGAAACGTTAAGTACAGAAAAGAGCTGCTGCCCCTGGAAGTGACACTCACGGTTTTGCCTCTCTCCCAATTTGGTGACTCCCAGCAGTGAGGGAGGCCCGCCAGGCAGGCTGGCAGGGCAGGAGGATTCGGACTGTGACTCCTGGAGCCCAGCTGCCCTGAACCCCGTTACTTTTCCTCCTGTTTTCCTGTAACGGAGAGTGTTCTGGTTTAAATATAAATTGTATTATGCATGGGTGATGGGTCAAGAAGAATTTATGTACACTGTGTTTTGCTTACATTTGCAGAGGGATTCTACATGCCCCCGTGCCCAGTCACAGACTGTCTAAAGAGAGTCCATCGTCCCCAAGTTCAAAACCTTTTTCATTTGGTAACTTTCATAGTGTGTCTGTGGCCTCTTTGGGAATGGGGCTCAGCTTAGTGGCGTATACACAGGAGGTTCTCCATGAATATTTCTCGATTGATTGATAGCACATTTTACATTCCTGTGAGGCGAGTTGTTTGGGGTTTTCCTTCTTCCACCACCAGGTGGCGCTCCCCGCCCCGCCTTTGCCCCTAATGGTGTGAGTTGGGGGCGGGAGAAGCTCCTGTGGGGATTTGGTTCTGTCTCATCTGGGAACAAAGGATGGACGCGGAGCTGGCTGACTAGTTTTTCATTTACTCGTGTGCCTGACTTCCTGAGCACTGTGGGGTGACTGGCGGCACATTCTCTGCTTTTATCTCCGTGCATAATACCTGGCACGTTACAGAATGCAGAGCTCTTGGGTGTCTCCCCCTGAGGCTGGCGGTGGGGGATTAATGACAGCTCCTCACTGGGTAGCCCAGCAACACACATGCCCCTCCCGGGAGAGTGTTAGGACTGGAGCATCTGCCGTGGGGAATTTCAGGGTTGCGTGATGCTGTAAGAGAGGCCTGGCAGCCCCTCCCGGGGTCTGGAGGGCCAGCCAGCGTGAGGCTGGGGAAGGGCTTGAGACCAGGGCCAGGACACCAGCTGGGTTCTAGCTCCGGTGTCCATGTCAGGCAAGTAATCTGCGTCCTGCTGTCTCCCCCTGTGCAGGGGGTTGGAGTGAAGGCTCCCCGCTGTGTGCCCTTCGGGGACGATATAGTCACCTTCTGGGCCCTGCCCAAGAATGACTGCAGCTGAGCTCGGATTTCCTCCCAGCAAGCTGCCCCTTTGGGCTAAAGCACTAGCTACTCAAAGGCCCTACCTAGTTAGATGTAAGTGGTAACACCTGAGAAGGGAAAGGTGCTATCAGCTCCTCTGAACATAGCCCAGGTCGCTTCTGGGTTGGCTGGGATCAATGGAGCAGAGGAGGGCACGGCAGAAAGCCTGCAAGCAAGGCGGTGTCTGGGGAGGCCTGGCCTTGGTGAGGGCTCTGGACACTTGCGGGGCGGGTGTCCTGGATAAGAGAGGTGCCTAGGATAAGCCTGTTGGCAATAATCCCCCCACTGCCCGGCTGGAGAGAACAAGCTGTGACAGTGAGCCATGGACCTGGGAACAGACGCCATGGAGTAGCCCCAGAGGTACGCTCACTGCCGTCTCCCCCTCCCCGTCTCTGGCAGACTTTCCAGAGTAGGGCCTGGTGTTGATGTGAGCAGCCTGTGTGAGCCCCGCAGGGGCTGGGGCCCTTCTTCATGAGGCTGAGCTGGGGGAGATGTGATGGTAGCTATACCCCCTGGATCTCACACAACCTGAGGGCCACCACAGTGGCTGACCATGGCCAAAACACTCTCGGGGATGGTGGTTTTCCCCCCGGGAGTTAGGAAGGGGTTACTGATCCTTATAGCAGGCAGTGTGGCTGCAGCTCCTGCCAGGAAAGCTGGGCTCCAACCAGCAGGAGGCTCCCCAGGAGCGGAGGCCCATAGGAATGGGGGCAGAGGGGTGAAATCCAGACCTCTGACCGTCTCCTGTGTGCCCAGGGCTGTTCCTGGTGGAGAGGGACATGGTGGAGGTGCATGTGACATGCGCCTGACCGCCAGAAGCTGCCTGCTGGCATCAGGCCAACACTGGGCAACTGGAGAGGGCAAAAGAATTTGCAAGTGGAGTAACAGGACTAACACCCTCCAGTCCCAAGGTCGAGGGAGAAAGTTCAGTTCTTATCACAAAGTCTTGATTAGCTGTTTCTTTTTGCAAGACTGCAGTGAGAGCTGGAGTTGAGATGAGTTAATATTCTTTTGCCCTTAAGTATTGAACAAAGAGATGCCCATTGGAAATCAGGCAAAATATGCAGTCTCCGCCCTTACCCTTGCTGAGCCAGCATCCCCAGGTGCTGCCCTGCCACTCTGCTCATGTCCCATGGCGCCCTCACCGGTCCTCTCCTCCCTGTTTGCATCTCCAGGTTCTCCCTTTCTGCTTCCGAAGACTCACTCTGGTAAGAGGAAAGGACACTGAGTGAGAACTTGTACAGGCCTAACCCAGCCTGAGCCCCTGCTGGTCACAGAATTACTCCCACCAGTGCCCCCCTTTGCTCCCTCCTCTGTGGTTTCTGCTCTGTGAGGATTCGTGGGTCCCACAGGAGAGCACGTGGCAGTGTCTGGAACCTGGGCAGCAGGGGAGAGATGGTGTTTGCGGGCACCATGTGCTGCAGATGGAGAGGAAGGAGGGAAGCCCGGACTTCTGGAGCCTCCCCTGTTCTGGTTTCCAGACCTTGGCTGGAGTTGCTGCGCTTTCCTGGCCTCTCTACCTGCCTCTCTCCTCTACACTGGACGCCCTGTGTTTTTTTTGTCCTTTATTTCTAGCAAGACTGAGGATTGGGGCTATTTGAATGAAGATGGAGAGCTCGGCTTGGCCTACCAAGGCCTAAAGCAAGTTGCCAGGTCGAATACTTGCCTTTCTTCCTGCGTCTTCTCTGTCTGTCCTGCCTGCTGTGTCTATGCTTGTGTTTCAGCTGGACTGGATGCAAGGGCATGGGGCACAATTCACGGGGCACGGGGGGTGGCCCCTCTGGCTGTCGTCAGGCACTTTTGTCCAGGCTGTGTGGATGAGGTCAGGGAAGCTGCTTGTGGGGTCAAGGTGATAGCACTTGATGGCTCAGTGGAGCCTTAGAAACCACTTGGTCCAACTCCCTGGCTCTGTGTGTGAAGGAACAGACCTGGGGAGTTTCACATGGCAGCAGACACAGCTATTTTTAAAACAAGGCTGAGAGGGAAATTTAATTCTGGGGCCTCTTGAGTCTGTGCTGCTTCTGTGCTGTGCGTTGACCATCCTAACTCTGCAGGACCAGCTGAGACTATTGGCCGGATTTGTGCTGTTGGCTGTGCTCCAAGCACAGGGCTCCTGGGAGCCTGCCCTGCCTCCAGCATGCTGGTCGCTATCCCAGTGACTGCCTGGAGCTGACAACGGCTGACAGGCCCTGTGCTGCGCATGCTGCATGTATCAGGTCTGACCCTAGCCACACGCACATGGGGCGAGGACACTGTAACTTGCAGGGTTTAGGGAACTTGCTGCTTAAGCAGAAGATCCAGAATTTGAACCTGGTTTCCTTTGACACTGGAGTCTGAATCCATAACCCACTGGCCGTCAGCCTTGGGTGAGCTAGCAAGGGAGGCTAGACATGCAGCAGTAACAGCACGGTGGCCACGTCACACACTTATTACCAGCATGCGGCTTTTGGGGGCCATGGCATAGTTTTGTGCACTTAAGACCCCCAACCGTAGGTGGGGCGGTGGTCTCGGGCTTGTTTCCCAGAAGAGGAAACAGGCTCAGTGAGGTGGGAAGTTAGAACTGGAGCCAGGAGCCCTCACGCACCTTCATCAGAGTTCTGCCTGCCGGTGACAGTGGAGGCTCCATTAGAGCAACGAGAGCATCTCTTCTGGGGGAAACAAAGTCCAGGTCAGCTGGTTCTTGAGATGGTGTGTCTCCTGGCTCTGGGGTTCAAACGTGACACCACCACCTGTAAGCAAGGTAACATCTGTCTGCATTTCCTCGCTGCTGGAATAGCTGGCATGCCGTAAGCACGGAATAAATATTAGCTGCTATTTCTGTTATTATAATGGCTATTATTCAATAAGGTGATATTCCTGCCCCATCAAGAAGTTTGTTTTATTGGAAGGGGGACCCCGCTGCAAAACCAGGAAATTCCTCCTGGCTGTCCGTCAGCAGATTAGATGTGGCTGATACATGAGTAAATGAATACATTCACAGAGCAAAGCAAGCACAGGCCCCAGCATCAGGTCTAGCTTCCAGAACAACTGTGTCACTGGCTGTGGTCTCTCTCTCTCTCGTCCTTAGTATTCTCACCTGCAGGATGAGGTCGCTTGACACTGGGGAGGGATTCTCCAACCTTGCACAGAACCCTGGGCTAAGTCACCCAGTCTGCATGGAGAGTAAGAAAGATGTGAGTGTAAACTCACAAATCAGGAGCTGGTCCCCCCGGCAGAGGCCCTAAATCCCAAATGTTTCCATTCTGCCTCTCTCGTTACATTTATAATTTACTGGTGAGTACTTTAGTGTATTGCAGCCAAGACTGGATGTTATCCAAATATTATATGTCCTCTAAAATGCTGATATAATTCCCAATTATTCTCCACAATCTTCACAGTATTGCTTTGGTGGTGCTGCCTGGGGTGAGTGGGTGATTCAGTCATTCCTCCACCATTTCTTCATTCATCTTTGTGGAGAAGGCCCTGGGAGCCAAGCTGCTTTGGAGCTGACTACAGAGGAAAACGTGGTTGCTCCATCTGGGAGCTGACAGTGGAGACTTTCCCCTCTCTTGCTCCCTCCTATCTTGTGCCAATTATCACCTCCCAGAATGATAGAACTACACAAACATGGTGCCTCTTCACCTCCCTGCCTCCAGAGCAGCTGGGGGCTCTGAAAGCTGTTTCCTAGGCATTTCCAGGTTCCCAACTCTGTGCCTAGCTATGGACAGTTGTTTTTTTAATATATCTTTATTGATTTCAGAGAGAGGAAAGGAGAGGGAGAGAGAGAGAGAGAAACATCAATGATGAGTCATTGATTGCCCGCCTCCTACACGCCCCCAACTGGGGATCGAGCCCGCAACCCGGGCATGTGCCCTGACTGGGAATGGAACCCCGATCGCCTGGATCCTAGGTCAACACTCAACCGCTGAGCCATGCCCGGCCGGGCTGGACACAGTCTTTATCTGCATCTGAAGGAGAGACTGGGTGAACTTCCCCAGGTGGACCGTGGCAGGAAGCTTTGGTGGCACCTTTCACCCAGGGCCTCCTACCTTTCTTTCATGTGAAGTTTACCGGATCAGGAAGCTTGCTCAGATAATTAAGGCCATGAAGATGGCACCACCATCATATTAGTACTTAAATTCCTGAAGTGGGGGCTGCTTAGGAACCTTCATTAAGTTCTTGCCTTCTGTTGTGATGGAATGGGTGGTCTCCCAGAATTGGCACCCCCTGGTCTTGGGCCTTTTAGACAGTCTCCTGAGACTTCTCCCCAACCCTCTCCAGATCTTCTCTAGGTCTCTGCTTCTTCCATCACACCAATTGATCTTAAACCTTCCTGCAGATCATCTGCAAATAGTCTTAGTTTCTGTTTTGATTGGGGGGGGGGTATATAAATCTGGGGATAAAGTGGGGGTCATAGTGGTGAAGATAAAAAAAGGGGCTAATAATTTCTTTCTAAAACTTGCAGAGAACCTACTCTAGGGAGATGATTAGTTCAGTCTACCAGAGTTTTGTCTTAAGGAGTTTATCCTGGGCTTTGGGGCAGATGTGGATGCTTTTATTTAGAAGATGATGATTTATTTCTGCTGACGACATTTTGGCGTGGAGACACTCTCTCATTCCCAATCCAACCAGACTGGCCCACATGGCGCAGTTGGTTGGGCTTCGTCCCATGCACCTCAGGGCTGCAGGTTTAATTCCAGTCATGGCATATGCCCGGGTTGCAGGCTCAATCTATGGTACAGCGTGTGCAGGAGGCAGCCGATCAATGTTTTGCTCTCACATTGATGTTTCTCTCCCTCTCCTTTCTTCTCTTTAAAAATCAATTTAAAATACTTAAAAAAAAAAAAAAAAAAAAATGAACATGGGAGTGAGAGGGGATCAAGAAAAAGGCCCATGACCAGGGCCGTGTGTTTGGCCATGGTCTCCCCATCCTCCAGGGGGACAGGCTGGCCTGCTTGCCCGATGAGCCGCGCAGATCTTTTCCCCTCACCATCCATCCCGTTGGGTTCATGCAGTTGCTGCTTCGTGCTTGGCTGCTCCCCTGTTGCATGTCCGTCTGGGGCCCCTCGGGGGCACTGACCCAAGCCCCACAGTCACCTGCCCTCTTCTTCCTGGTGCAGGTTGCTGGAGGCCCAGCTGCAGGCCCAGAGCCGGGCCCATGAGGCGGAGGCAGAGTGTCTCAGGGCCCAGGTGGAGGCCCTGAAGGAGGAGATGGACCGGCAGCAGCAGACCTTCTCCCAGACACTGCTGCTCTCCCCGGAGGCCCAGGTGGAACTCGGTGTCCAGCAGGAGATGTCCCGGCTGACCAATGAGAACCTGGTGAGTAGACATGCCCAGTAGGTCCCAGCCCTGGGAAGTCATATTCTAGAAGAAAATGGGACGGGGGATGGCCTTTAGCCAAATGGACAAGGTTCGTGTCCTTGGCTCAGTAGCAGGAACACAGAATCTAGAAACCTCCAGGCAGCAGGGTTTGTGGAGATATTCAGTCATCTATTACGGTGTCACCAACCTCCCCAAAACCTGACAGCTTAAAATAGCAAGTGCATTGAGGTCAGGAATTCCGGTTGGGCACAGTGGGCTGGCTTCTCTCTGCTGCACTGGTGTTGGCTGGGGCCAGAGGATCTGAGACAGCCTCATCTGTGTCGGGGACCTTGGTGCTGGCTGTTCTCCTCTGTCTGTCTGACTCTCTCTAGATGCGCTCTCTCATTCACTGGTTTGCCCTGAGCCGCTTTGCATGGCAGCTGACTTCCAAGAGGACAAAAGCAGCAGCAGGGGGGCCTCTTAAAACCTGGCCCCAGAACTGGCACAAGGTCCCTTCTGCCACTTTCTACTGATCAAAACAAATCCCATGGCTAGGCCAGATAGAGTGCATGTTGCGGGAGGGGGGGCACTACTCCTCTTGCTAGGAGGAGTCAAGGAGGAATTGTTGGTGGCCCTCCTTGCTGGCGGTTACCAAAGAAGCCCTGGCAGATGCCAGAGAAATGGAAGACAGTCTGTCCTCAGAGAGCTTACAGGTTAGTAGGGGAAACAAGACATGTAAAAAAGAAGAGAAAGAGAATCATGTTTCTGAAAACATGGTTCTACATGGGATTAACAAGTGTTACAGAAAAAGACCGACTTGGAAGAGGCTGAAGCTAAGGCAGGAGGCACGAAGGGATGTCAGCCATGTAGATAGGTGGAGAGGAGGAGGGAAGGGCATGGACACACAGGCTTGGGGCAGGAGTGAGGGGGAGGGCGGGGTGGCACAGGAGGGCCAGCAGCCTCCTGGAGCTGAGTGTGCCTGTGGGGGAGCAGCAGGAAGTGCCCAAACCACCCCCTGCAGGCTCACACACCAGCAGAGCTGCCAGTCCAGGAGCATTTCCCCTTAAAACCAGGTGGCCCCATGATGGGTGACCAGTTCACTGAATCCCGAGAGGGACAGTAGGGCACTGGACCACAGGTCCCTAAATAGGACTTTATACAAATGATCTGCCTTCCACCTTCCCACCATTTGTCTCCCTGTCTCCATCTGCATGCCACTATCTGTCACACACAGGTGTGTAAATAGGTAGCTTTATGGAAAGGAATATACATATTAAACTGTTGGACTGGCTTCTGCCAGGTAAAGGAGGCCATGTGGGAAATGCCTTTGCGGGCCCATTCCTGAGGGGCCGTTGGCCAACTGGCATGGTGGGCGACCACCTCACAAGGAGGCTATGCTCTGTGGAGGAACTGGGCCTGCTCAGGACAGCTTAGGAGTCAGCACGGGGCCCCTCTAGGCCCCACTGTGGGCCCTTGGGCCTAAGCAGGAGGAGCCTGGGTTGTAGGCAGGTGAGGATGGAGATTACGAGCAGGACTCCAGCTTTGGGCTGATGGGCGACTTCTTCTGGAGCATGGTCCACGCTATTTACCCAGGCAGAGGCACCGCCGCCAGGGCAGGGGTTTCCCAGGTGAGCAAACATTAGTGCTTTCCTTTGCCAGCTGGCCGAGCACTGCCATCTGCAGGGTGGACAAGGCCACGCACAAGGACCACACCTGGGTGCTGGCTTCCAGCCCAGTGATCACAGGGACATACAGGGCCCTGAGGGAGGAAGGATGTCTTTCTGGATAGCAACTTGAAAAGTTTAGAGATGTCACAGGCATGCTCCTCTGTTTGCAAGATTCCTTATGGGTTGAAATATTTCTTTCATAAGCCATCCGTAATTTTAGCCTCTAGGACTCAGAGCCTCAGTAGCTCCTGACTTTACCACCCACTGTGGCCAGTTCCATGTTCCCTTTCGTTTGTCCTAAATTTTCTGAGAACAAGCTTTTTTAAATTTTTTATTAACACCTTGCTATTTTGAGCCAGAACTTGCCTATGCGGCCAGCTGCTTTTCCATTGTGACTGTTGAGCAAGGTGTTTAAAATTACTTAACTTGTGTCTGCACTTTAATTTATCCCGTGACCAGTCAGCATTAAGATAAATAACTGAAGTCCTCAACAATATGTATAACTAGGTTTGTGGTTCACCATCATCACAGCACTGCGATTGAGAATTTGGCTGATTTTCATCTGTAGACCAGCCTTAAAAATTTGTCACCCAGATGTTTCTGAGGTTCCATGGTGGCATGTTTGCTTCTGTCTTCCGTTGCATTCCTAGTCACAGTGGCTGTAATGGTGATTGAGCGCCCTGCCTCCTGGGCCAGAGGACTTCACCCAGCTAGAATAGGGGTGATATTAATGCTATTCCAGGCCCCAGTGGGCTGATTGCTCCCAACGGCCATGGGTGATAGGAATTGGCAGCCACAGAGGGGCATGGGCCAGGGTCCTGGTTTGCTTCTGGGCCCCAGGTAATCTCACTGGCCTGCTGGCTCTTCCAGCTGAGTGCCTCCCCCAACTGTCATACTGTCATTTCCTTCCTAGGGCACTGCCCACACATCTGGGAACCCTCAGGCTAAGTATCTCTGGGGGGTTGGCCTGGCAAGCTGAGATGCTGGGCCTAGATAACCATGGAGTTCAGGGGGCACCAGGCAGCCAGAGCCAGGAGTTGGTCCATCTTGATTGTGAGAATGAACTCTGACCCACCTCCTGCTTCCTGGGTGCAGACCAGGGAGAGGTGAGCTTCGTGGGCAGGCCTCCTGACCTGTCCCGGAGCTTTGTCATTGTCCTCTGGCCACGCTACACGAAAGGAGTCTACCCCTTGCCCTCCAGGGCAGGGCAGGAATGTTCTCACACCGCACCCTTCTGCTTTTAGGACCTTAAAGAACTGGTAGAAAAGCTGGAAAAGAATGAGAAGAAACTCAAAAAACAACTGAAGATTCACATGAAGAAAGTCCAGGACCTAGAAGGTAAGGTCCGGGCGAGCGTGCTCTGTGAGGCACAGGTGCGCTCGGCCACGCCCGCCCCCGCTGCACTCCCCACTCCCTGGCTGCCTGGGGCCTGTGCCAGCTCACGCAGGGGACCCAATCATTCGGGCGCCATGAGCTCAGCCTGGCTCAGCTCGCCAGGATCTGGACTGAAGACACAGGAATACAGCAGGTGTTGGGTGCTTACTGAGCTCTCCTGGGCTGGAGAAAGGGGCAGCCAAGACAGTGGCCCTGTGGTCCTGCCCTCAGGGCTTAAAGCTGGAAGGCCAGACTTTATGTTGTGAAAGAAAGCTACATAACACGAAGACACACCCCCCCCAGGGCCTCACTCCATGCTATGGTGTCAGGAAGGAGAGAGGGCAGTTCTGTGATGAAACTTCCAAACTGGAACCTGGCCCACAGAGGTCAGACATATTTAAATTGCTCTTTTAGAAACATCCAGAACGTTCTCTCCCTTTGACGCTCTACTGCAAATCTAATCATGCCACCTTGCTCAGAACCCTCTCAGTCACCTCACCACCTGGATACCTCCCCCCTCCTTTCATCTTCAGTTCAGGAGCTGCATCCCAGGGAGGGCTGAGTCGCAGCTTTCACTGTCCTAATACCATGTACCTGTGGGGCATAGCTCCCATCATAGGTGTTTAATCACCTGCGTCTGTCCCCCTGCTGCTCTAGACAAGGCTCTATGAGGGCAGGGCTGTCAGTCCTTTTCAGCCTCGGGCCATCCATTTCTGCCCCGTTTGCCCTTCTATTTTTGGATTTCTGTTTTCTATTCCTGAGTTTCATTCTCCTAGTCACTCAGGTGGTGGCAGCAGCAGTTGCTGGTGCTTTTTTGATAAATGAATGTGTACCATGTTGAAACTGCTCAGCCTTGAAGATTGGGACTCCCTCTCCTTGAGTGCTTCTGTGTCCACCCCTCCTCCCCCACTGTGACCAGCTGTCTTTCTGCTCAGCTGCCCAGACACTAGCCCAGAACGGGCAGAGGCGCCATGAGCTCAACAGGCAGGTCACCGTGCAGCGGAAAGAGAAGGACTTCCAGGGCATGCTGGAGTACCACAAGGAAGACGAGGCCCTTCTCATTCGGAATCTGGTGACAGGTCAGAACCCTCAGTGGCACCCACCCATTCCTCTGCCCACCCACCACCAGACACCCCACCCTCTTCATCCCCCCGTACAACCCCTATTCACACTCCCCTTCACGCCCGTCACCTCAAGCTGCTGCATTTCGGGCCAGTTCCTGGGTGATGCTGCTGCTGTGGCTTGTGTGGGGGCCGACATGCAGGGGTCTTGGGAACCGCTGTCCTCGTTAGCCCTGGGCCTGGTTTGTCAGCTGTACAGGTTCCCTCTCCTCTGGTCTCATTCCCCATCTGGCTTGAGCACGCCCATCTTCCCCCATCTAACTGGGCACCCAGCCCAGTGCAGCAGCTACCTGCACAGCCAGAGGGAGCCTCTTAGAGGAGAGTGTCTTGGCCTCTGGGCCCTGAGCCATTAAGCTCCATTCTCTGTGGTGCTAGTTCTCCGGTCTGTAAAGTGGGGATGAGGCTACTGACCCCGCCCACCCCAGCACAGGGAATATAACACAAGTGACTGTGCTACATTAAAGCCACAGAACCCTTCTCAAATATGAGGAATCTGAAGTGGTAACTTTGGCAGGGGCATTTGAAGCTCAAGGAAGAGGTAAGCATTGTTCTAGAGGAATTTAAGTTTATTGAGGTCCCACTCTGCTGAGCACTGTGCAGGGGGCTGAGGGCTACAGGAACAAGGGAGCGTGACTTCAGTCTGGCGCAGATTTTTTTCAGCTCTTTGCCTTGGGAATGTTTAGTAGCAGAGTATTTTGCTCTTTTTATAAAGGATAAATTCCCCCACAGTTGTCCAATTAAACGTGACATAAGTTCATCTTAAACTTCCTTACATAGGCTGCATGTTGTCCAAATGCTGCTAAGAATGAACCTTTGATCTCTCATGAATGAAACTCAAAGTTCACAGCATCAGAATAAAACATAATCACAATGGAGACTGCGTGTGCCAGTAGATGGGTGGCCCCTTCCCACTGTCATTGCTCAGATGGATCAAGGCAAGGTCATCTCCTGCTAAGCCGCCTCAGCACAGCACCCAGTCACCTTCCCTCCAAAAGCCCCCATCCAAGTGAATGCCAAGACTTTACTGTCCACCCCTTAGGTCCCCAGCACTGGCTAGTTGCTGTGTAGGACTGAGAGAAGTGAGCAATGGCCCTCACTCCCAAGATGCTAAAGTTCAGCTGGGTAGACCAAGGAAGCTCTGGGAAATGGGCCTCAAATCATATGCCCTCAAGTAGAACATTCCTAGACAGGTCAGGCTGTTGCAATCTTGGCATGGGTCAGGCTCGATGCAAGAAGTTATAGGTTGGAAATATGGGCTTTAAAATATATTTTTCTGAATGAATGTTACTGGCATTATACTTAAAGCCAAGGGCCAAGCCACAGCTATCTGTTGAGCCTATAAGCTGCCCAAATGTTAACCATGTACCCAGAGTATTAAGGCCTATAGTTAGCATTTACCTTGAAGGGTAGGATGTATTTGAGGGCACAAACTGGAGATGCTGGTAGAAGATCCCCAGCCCTGTCCCAGGATCACCCTGGCAGAAGACTTGAGGGTGTTGCCCCTGCTCCTCCCCCTAGCCCACCTGCAGGCGGAGAGGTGGCTGCCCCTCAGTGTCATTCCAAGCCTGGAGGTAACTCACGAGGCCTAGGCTGGGTGGAGATTGGGAGTGGGTGTAATGAGAGTGAAGGGTGAGGGCTGGGGACAGAGCACTGGGCTCAGAGCGCTGGGCCAGTGAGCACACCTGGCGTCTGATGCCCCAGGCCTATGCCCAGGCCTCGCTGTCACCTGCATCTTCCCTTCACACTGGGCCTGTTCCTCCTCTTCCGAGTTCCTGCCACCACTCATGGCTCTGAGTCTGGCTTACTCTGGCAGGAAAGCAATCTGACAGCTTCTCCCTGGCCCTCCCGGGGCTTTGGCAGGGAGGGCCAAGAGGCGAGTGGGTGCCTGGGCTTCATGGGGAGTCCCAGCCCCCTCCAGTGCTGTCAGAGCACACCTGATAGAGGCATGGGGTGCAGGAGAGAGCATTTGAGGGACAGAGGGGATTGCAGTAGTAGCTGCCCCCGACAGTAGCCAAGTTAGCACTGACCAGGAGAGGCTGGTGGGACCCATTTCAAGGGGTGGCACTGGGGAGGGGAGAGACTGGCCGGCCAGTCTGTCTCAGAGCCTCTTGATCTGTCAGCTCTGAGAATGTCTGGGCAGGCGCTAGCCAGGAAGACCGTGGGCTGTAGGCTCCCAGGCCCCTGCCCACTGGCTGTCTTCAGGAATGTACAGTTTGCCCATGTTTCCTGGGACAGCCCTCTCATTCCTGCTGCTGAAGAGCCCCTGGTGCCCACAGCAGAAAGGGCTAGTGAGACTTCTCGCCCAGTGGGGGAGCCAGTTTCTGTCTTCACTTGCCTCTGGCGCGGGCCCCTTCATGAGGACCAAGGCCTCTGTGTAAATTCGGGTGGGGAGCTAACTATGGGCTCTTTTCCTCAGTGTTGTAAGGACAAGGCCTGGAGCCTGTTTTAATATTACAGACCAGATGCTTAAACACCCCCCCCACACACACACACCCCTAGTTTCTGGAACTACTGGCAGTCAGGGTCAGAGGAGTCTATGGATCCCTGGGTACGGCTTCTCCCCTACTCCTCTCCAACCCCCATGCGCAGTCATTCTCAGGTGAGCTACAGTAAGACATGGAAAACGTTTGCACTTCAGACCAGGATTCTCTCAGCCTCAAGCGTCCACTATAACTCTAACCCTTGCTGTTTGTCGCCATTAGAGCTGAAGCCTCAGGCACTGGTGGGCACAGTGCCATGTCTTCCTGCTTACATCCTCTACATGTGCATCAGGCACGCTGATTACGTCAACGACGACCTCAAGGTGCACTCCTTGCTGACCTCCTCCATCAACGGCATTAAGAAGGTCCTCAAGGTACGTGTCCCACACTGAAGGGGTGGTTTGCAGTGGACTGAGTGAAGCCCGCGCCATATGGTTGTTTCTCCATCTGGATTTTGCAGTAGCGAGGTCTCCAGGCTCCAACTCTGACAATAAATGACAGAAGTCAGCAGCAGCTCACCCATGTAACTGGGATACCTGGGCAGTTCCCAGAGAAGGATGCTCAGGCTCAGAAATGTCAGGAAGCGAAGCACAGAAATCCAGTGCAGCCCTCCAGGGGCTCCCTGCCGAGCCTCCAGGGAACTCCAGTGACCAGGGCTGTTAGGAAGACATCCATCCTCAGCAGAGAGTGGGCTGGCCCCACCGTGAAGTGACGTTCAGGGAACCAACCTGAACACAGACCCTCTCCCAGACTTTTCCAAGGGGCTGGGTGCCTGCTGCTCAGGGCAGTGGCACAGGGAGGGGTGCTCCCATTCATCAACCCCCAAGGTGACGCAGCCTGAGCCAGGACAGGGCTGCTCACAGGGCACTGACGTGGTTCAGGAATGCCACTAAAGGCACAAGGCTCTTCCCAAATGTACTGGCAGCCACTGCAGGACCAGGCCAGCCTGTAGGGAGGTGAGACCTGGCCATATAGAGGGCCAAGAGGGTGGGAGGTGAGATTTTTATACCTCCCAGAAGGCCCAGGCCCCAGGTGGTACTGCCTTGAGAGCATGTCTTATTCAGTTCTATTTTTTTAAATGTTTTTATTAATGTTTAGAGAGAAAGGAAGGAAGGCGAGAGAGACATCGATCAGCTGCCTCCTGCACGCCCCCTACTGGTGATTGAGCCTGAAACCTGGGCATGGGCCCTGACCAGAAATCAAACCAGCAGCCCCTCCGGTCATGGGCTGAAGCTCAACTGAGCCACACCAGCCAGGGCACGGCTTCTTTAGTTCTTATGTAAGCAGCCATTTATGGATGCAAGCCATCCCCAAAAAGCACTGAGTCCAGACCAACCCTCCACCCCACTGGGCCATGCTGCCTCCACCTTTCTCCTCTGAGCATGCTACAGCTAGCCTTTAACTCTTAGTTTCATGCCAGTTTTGCCTCAGTATCTGCACCCCCTTCCCTGCATGGGCTCCACAGGCACTTTTATCCACTCCCAGTTCTAAACATGTATCTACATGCAGGCAAATCTCAGATTTGTGTCTCCTGCCTCTACCTTTTTCATGAGCTCCAGCTGGGGGCCTGGGCGAGTCTAGGGGAGTCTACTGACTTCAAATGTCACTTCCTAATCACCAGGCTCAATTAGCATGCCCAGCCCCGCCCATCGCCTGTCAACTTCCTTCTTTTATTGTCTTCATAGCTCATACCTCTGATACTTAAATAATAAAATGTTACCTGGCAGAATGAGTTCCATGAAGTCATCAGTTTTAGTGCAGAAACCGGTGCAGCTGTTTGGATTGTTGAACAGCCTTTGTCATTTAGTTATGGTTTGTAGCCATTTTTCAGAGAGTGAACCCATGAGCCATCCAACCTCTAGATAAATGAGATTCCAGAACATCTCACGGGCATGTTCCTTCATCTGTTTTGGTTCACGGACAGTTCAGACCTGCCAGGACCGCCAGCCCAGGGCCACTGAGGTCAAGCTTCGTCTGTCATTTGGCTTTGTTTTCTTCAGCTGTAGAAGCAGCCTGTCTGTGGTGTGTGCACACCACTGGTCACAGGACCAGGAAGAGGGGTCTGTATACCATCCCCAGTAGTGGAGGAATGGTAACACTGCCTTTTGGCAATGGGTCTCATCTCTGTGAATGGCAAGTACCTGCCTGTTGTCAGGTCTGCTTGGGACATGCTGGGTAAGAGTGGGAAACATGGAAACAGAAGTAGCAGGTAAGCATTTAACCAAACGGGAACCGCTACTCATAAGGAGAGATGTCTCTTTGTTTTCACAGAAGCACAATGACGACTTTGAGATGACATCATTCTGGCTATCCAATACCTGCCGCCTGCTTCATTGTTTGAAGCAGTACAGTGGGGATGAGGTGAGTGCTAAGATGACAGGCCCAATCCCCCAAAGGACACTTAGAAACTATTCAAGTGCCCCAAATCCTCCACAGTTAGGTCTTCGTTTCCTTGGGCATAGCAACATGTATTCCACCTTAGAGCACCTCAGATCCAGGACAGCCTGCTTTGTCCCCATATGCGTCTCTCCTAAGGAAAGGAGTAAGGTTGGGGAGCCTCCACTGAGACCCCAGGCTATGGGCATGCCTCACTATACCTGGTAGCTAGAAGCAGGAATAAGGCAGGCCCCAATGATCCTGAGAGTCCCCAGAGAGCTCCCTCCATCAAGTAAGGAGAATTTGAAAGTGAGTTTGCATAATGCACCCCTTGTCTGAGAGTACCTGGGACTCTCTAGGCAAACCCTTGTAACTCTAAATTTCTGAGGCAGCCCTAGAAGGGCCCCATTTCAGTGACTGCTGGGAGAAAGCCCAGTAGTCTGGTGTGTCAGACTGTTTCCTAAGCCAACTGATGAGTTTGTCCATTTTAAAGCACACAAAGATGGCCACAAGAAAAGAGGTACAACATAAACAACACATCTGTACAGACTGACCTTGAGGCCCAGCTTCTAGCCAAACCTGATTCCTTGGCCTGAGACCCATCCGACCTCATTAGGTCATGTTCTCCTCTGGGCCCAGCTTTATCTGGAAGTCACCATGCCCAGCAGTGGTCCCTGAAGGAACTTTTCCCATGCTCTGTATTCAGCCCAATGGCCTAGTAACATATGGCATGTTTTCACTCGTTTCACCAGTAAGAGCCCAACTTGTGCCAGACACTGCCCACTCCCAGGTCCCTACAGGCCTCCTCGACTTTCCTGTCTCCCTTTCACACATCTCTTTCTCCACTCTCCCCAAGGGCAAGATGTATGTAAACCAGATGTATGTAAACCAGATGTATGTAAACATAATACAGCAATTTTTAAAGTTTACCTGTATTCCATTTTTTGTGCCAGAATGAGTTTGACAGATTCTCCTGCCTGGCATAATAAAATTATATCCTGTCCTCATCAGTCTTAACCTTTTTGTGATGTGACACAGAGTCTTACAGAACAGCATATAAATACAGAGAGCAAGTAGGATATGGTGAAAGTGACTGGAGGCCAGGAATTTCTGCTAAGCTGGGCAGACTACAGAATGTCAGTAAAGCCAGCCTCTCCTCTGCAGGGCTTCATGACTCAGAACACCGCCAAGCAGAATGAGCACTGTCTTAAGAACTTTGACCTCACTGAATACCGTCAGGTGCTGAGTGACCTTTCCATTCAGATCTACCAGCAGCTCATTAAAATCGCCGAGGGAGTGTTGCAGCCCATGATAGGTAAGCTGGCAATGGGAGATCTCCAGCCCTCATCACGGGTCTGAAGTGAGGGGATGATGTGGTGAGTCTTCCCTTTAGGGAACTGGGTATACTGGGCACAGCTCCAGAAAGCCAGGACCTCCCCAGTGAAGGCAGCTGCAAGGTGTGTGCTGCGTGCTTAAGAAGAACTACGAAATTTTCAACAGCGTCCCATTCAAATACATAGTACTCAGGTGGAGAATATAGATCATTTTCCTTTATCTCTTCTGTAGTATATTGTATTATTTTTCCCAAAACTAATTTCCATAGGTAATAGAAACTCAGAAAGGTATAAATTCATATACAGTGAAAAATATATAATCCTCTTGCCCATATTATAGATGCTTAATTCATGAAAAAAGGAAAGCATTATGTTCATGTGAAAGAAAACAGTAGGAAACACTCTCTGTCCAGAGCGGTACACTTGGGCATTTAACATGAAACCAGAATTGAAAAGGAAGCAGTTGTTTTTGTTTTTCTAAACAGCATTTGGGAACAAATGTTTCCAATGCTGATTCTTTTTTAGTATGTTTTTATTTATTTTAGAGAATGGGGAGGGAGGGGGAGAAAGAGAGAGAGACATCGATTTGCTGCCTCTTGCACACCCCCTTCTGGGGATCGAGCCCACAACCCAGGCATGTGCCCTGACGGGGAATCAAATGTGACCTCTTAGTTCATGAGTTGACACTGAACAGCAGAGCCACACTGGCCGGGCAGCAGTTCTTTTTTAAGGTAAAAGAAGAATGACACTCGCTGTTCCATACAGGCTGGGGTGGAAATGATTCCGTGGACCTACATGTAATGCTTTCCCCAGGTTCTTACAACATAAATAGTTTCGAAGCGAATTCCAAGTAGGACAGAGTCCTTCATCCGGTCCAGAAGTATATCCTTAGGACAAGGTTCATTCTAAATTCTGTCTGAAAATCTTGAAGCACCAGTTTGTTCTCACCAGACACAGGGAGAACTGGGATACCTCATGACTCAGAAAAATGTGACAGCTAATAGTACCAGTTCTGGAGTTGGACAAATCCTGGCCCTGCCACCTCATAGCAATGTGACCTTGGACAAATTATTTAGCCTCTGTACGCCTCAGTTTCCTCATCAGCAAATAAGTTGTTAGAAGATTAAAAAATACTGAACCTGAAGTACCTGACATGTAGTCAAGTGCTGTACAATAAATATAACAGACCTAACATAACCTAATATTTGCACAGTCAGTGGCTCACGTGGAAGAGCTGTTCAAACACCGGTAGGATGACCTCTAGTGGCAGGGCCAGGACAACACCCCCATTTCCCAATTCTCAAACTGGGGACTCAGCACAGAATCGAGTTGCTACGTGCCTATTTTCTTTGTCCATCCCCAATAAATTTAAGTGAAAATTTGGTCAACAGCTACCTTCTTCCATATAGAGATCAACACATTAGGAATTTCTGTGCTGAATGCTGTAAGTTGTGAACATGTCGACACTGTGTACCTCTGATGGCAGGCCTTTGGGGACATGCCAGCTTCTGTAACAGTGCTTTCCTTCCAGTCTCAGCCATGTTGGAAAATGAGAGCATTCAGGGTCTATCTGGTGTGAAGCCGACGGGCTACCGGAAGCGCTCCTCCAGCATGGCAGATGGGGACAACTCATACTGCCTGGAAGCCATCATCCGCCAGATGAATTCCTTTCACACAGTCCTGTGCGACCAGGGTCTGGACCCCGAGATCATCCAGCAGGTGTTCAAACAGCTCTTCTACATGATCACTGCGGTGACGCTCAACAACCTGCTCCTGCGGAAGGACGTCTGCTCCTGGAGCACAGGCATGCAGCTCAGGTAGGAGGCGTCGCCTCAGCCACGGGTGGAGGGGGTGCACCCCAGCCAGAGTCAGAGCATGAGACATGTGCTTCTGAAAGTGAAATGCAAATCTGACATGATAGTCCTTGTCACACTCAGTGTGCAGCTCAAACCCGTCACCTTATATGTGGATGAAATTCATCAAACACTGAGATGGTGACTTGGTAAACAAATTAGTTCAAAGCTTAAAGATATTTACATACTCTGACATAAAAACGTATTACAATGTGGGTAGGTCAGAGAGAAAAATCAATGAGTTAAGTGCCAGGAAGGTGCACATAGAAATATAAACACAGCATGGGGCAAAAGTAGGTTTACAGTTGCTTGTATGGCAAATACAATAATTAATAGATAATAATACAAGAATAAACTGTTTCATATACTCACAACTGTAAAACTTTTCACCCCACCCTGTATGTTCGTGAATCTTAAATATTAGTTGTTTTAATTCAATCTATTTAATTCCTCTTTTCCTCATTAACTTATACAGACCCTTCAGGTACTTTCTTTTGATTTTAGGCACCTAGTCATTCAACAAAAGTTACTTAGTGCCAGGCACTTCTCAAGCTGTGGCCCATGTGGGATAAGTGAGAATGAGAACAGTAGTGGCAGCGAGGCTGCAAATTAAACACAACAGGTGTGCTCATCCCAGTGAATTAGGAGGACCGGCCTAACACAGCTCACGTTTACTTCTAAGGTACAATATAAGTCAACTTGAGGAGTGGCTTCGAGGAAGAAACCTTCACCAGAGTGGAGCAGTTCAAACCATGGAACCTCTGATCCAGGCAGCCCAGCTCCTGCAGTTAAAGAAGAAAACCACTGAGGACGCCGAGGCCATCTGCTCCCTGTGCACCTCCCTCAGCACCCAGCAGGTACAGTCACCACATACCCCATCAGCAAGGCACTCAGAGCAAGTCCAGCTTCAGTCCAAGTCTGTTCTTGCCAGTGGGTTTTGTTATTTTTAGTATTGCACTTCCAGCCTTTCTTTTCCCTAAGGATACAATTCTGAAGTTGCAGCTGATGGAATGTTCCAAAATGAATCAAACACTACTTTGGTCTATGAAATGAGATGCCACTGTTTTCCACTAACTTTCTGCTGTTTCTTGCTCACTTAGATAAGGTACTAAACCCACAAAACATCAACCTTAAGTACAAGCATTTTTTAAACAATGAATCTGGGATGTTTCTCACCTAGAAATTTAAATTTTTTTCAGAAGTTGACAGCATCAGGCATTTGGCATTATATATTTTTAAAAGCCATTTATTTATCTTTATTGATTTCAGAGAGAGGGAGAGAGAGATAGAAACATCAGTGATGAGAGAGTCATTGATCGTCTGCCTTCTGCACCCACCCCCCCACTGGGGATCAAGCCCACAACCAGGGCTTGTGCCCTAAGCAAGAATTGAACCACTATCTCCTGGATATCTAGGTCAATGCTCAACCGCTGAGCCATGCCTGGCCAAGCATTAAACAGCTTTCTTTACAATTATAATTTCATTAAGGTCATGTCTTCACTTAGAATCCATTTATATAGTTTTAAATAAAATCATTAAGAACCCAGAGTTGTTTAAGTGTCCCCCTCCCCCCCCAAATTGTATTTATACTAGGACTTGGTTGCAGAGAGATTACTAGTATATGAAAAATAAGTCCTGTCCACACACAGAATTACCTTGCCCTCCATCATGGGAGTGCCTATTTAGAAATGGGCCACCACAAGGTGGTCAAAATGAGACCAAGGAAATTAGACTTTCTAAATTAATTCATGTACCTTCTCCCTGTGCAGCTCCTAGAGAACAATAAAGTCCAAACTCAGTATTGCAGAGTCAATCGTTTCTTTACCTCTTCCACTAACTACTAAAAGATGAAATACCAAGCTCTTCAGAAAAGTGCTTCCCTTCTATAAATGTACTCAAATTTTTCAAACTTTTTCTCCCTTTTAAAATTATTTAAAATGGAACTGGCATTGATCTGCAATTGGGCAGGCTACTTCCACCAAACAATTGACAGGCAGACAATTATCCTCCATTCAAATAACAAAAAAAATCTATTCCTTTATAAGTGATTTTGGGGGGTGGTAGGAGGTGGGGAGGTGTGGTTAAACAGGTACTCTTTTGAAGAAACCTTTAAATTACTAGATTTCAGGTTTCCTAAAATCCTTATTTTATAAGCCATGGAGCACAGGGGGAGGGATGGGGTGGGGTGGGAGACAGGAATGTGGTGAGAAGGCTCATCTACCAGGCAAGGCTTATGAACTCGTTTACTAAACACAGACTCCTACATTTCAGTCTAGCTCTGTGTTGTGGGTGCTGTCTAAATAGAATTTTAAAGACTGTGACATTGACACAAGAGTCCAATCCTCAAGTGTTGTTATGCTCATTTAGCTCTGTGCTAAACTTTTTTTTTTTTATTCTAACAGATTATCAAGATTTTAAACCTTTATACTCCCTTGAATGAGTTTGAAGAACGTGTAACAGTGAGCTTTATACGAACAATCCAGGTGAGCTTTAAAATCAACTTTATAAATTCGTAGTCGAAAGTATTATTTCATTTGCCACTAGCATGTTACAGAACTATAGCACCAAAGGAAATTAACAAAGCAAGCAGCATGTCAGCCCCAGGCTGAGTGCCGACCCTTTAGTGTGACTGTAGCTGACAGCATCTGAAGGGTGAATCACATCAAGATTACTACAGTGAACATTTCTCCGTCATATGTGGGAAACTCCTCCTCAGCCAGTGGATTGACAGCAGTTCACAACAAGGACAAAGAGAAATGGGGGAAAGAATGAAGGTCAAGGGAGGAACGCCAATTCAGACCAAAGGTGGTTCTCTTAAGTGCAGTGGGGAACAGGCAATGGGTTATTAGAGATCCAGGTCACAGAGGGAGGCAGGCAGAGGCTCACCAACGTGGCTGTCTCAGCAGGCAGGGGGCACTGATGGAAAGTCAGTTACTAGGACACATGTACAGTCAGCTGCTGAAAGGGGAGGAGGAGTTGGATGACAGAAAAGCCGCCACTGAAATATTTGATTTTTTTTTTTATCTGACCCAGTACTGATTTTTATACTTTACACAAACCAAAGTGCAAGTTTAGAAAGTTAACTGTTTTTAATGTAGCTGCTTCTAAATCAACAGAGACACTGTTTACTGGAACAGACCAAAGGTGAAAGAATATATGCCAAGTCAGACTTAAGGTTTCAATTCAGGACAGGGGAGAGAGGAAATTGGAGGTTGGTCGGGCATTCTCTGAATATATACACAATCAGATTCTAAGTCTCCCTCAGCAGTCAATTTCAGTATTTGGCAAGTCTTTAAAAGAAAATTTTGTGCCCTGACCGGGTGGCTCAGTTAGTTTAGAGCATCGTCCCATACACCAAAAGGTTGTGGGTTCAATTCCCGGTCCCGGTGAGTGCAGGAGGCAACTGATTGACGTTTCTCTCTCTCTCATCAATAAAAACATATCCTCAGGGAAGGATTAAAAAAACTTTTGTTTTTCCAGCTCTAGTTTTATGTTTTATTGCTCCCTAGACAGTGCTCAGAGGAAGTGGTGGAACCACCCATGCCATCCTTCTACATTTGTACATACCTTGTATTTATCCTATAAAAGTTGTCATTAAAGCAAACCATTTGCTTGGGCAGTGTAGGCAGGATATACTGACCTTTAAAAATGTTAATTTGAGGGGTTGTTAAACTCAAAGGATTCACAAGAGGGTTCCTGTGAAATGACTATAGGTACTTGGTGAATTTTAAATAATTAAATGTATATACACCTTTTGCTGCTGAATTGTAATAACGTACATACGTATGTTAACTTTTGTCCCATTTTTATACCGTCCTCTAAATCCTTTACAATTTCTTCAAGCCCTTCAATAGTAGAGCCTTCAGATAAATCTGATTGATGTAGAGAAATAAAAGGACTGTCATATGAAAAAAATTTAAGAGCTTCCTGCCGTTTCACATTTTATGTGCATTCTCATGTGCTGTGTGAGAGGTTTGTAATAACAAATGCAATAAAGCTCACAGCGAGCCGAGTGTGAGCTAGCAGTGAGCCTAGGGAGACCATTCTGGCAGAGTCGTGTCAGGGCCATCATTTGGTATCTTAAATTACTAAAGCTGGTTGCTTATGTATCCCTAAGTGTCTTTGCCTCTTTTAAACTTCTTTTCCTATTATTTCAAACTATGTGTTTCAAACTGTTAAAATTACTTTAAAATTTTGGCCCATCTTTCAAGATGCTAATAAACATACTGGTGTTTTTCAATTGAGAATTAGCAATTTAATTTTTGGACCCCAGATGACCATGGATAACTGAAACCACTGAAAGCAAAACTGTGGATAACGGGGTACAACTGTAATTCTGTTTAAATGTTTGAGGAATCACCGTAGCAGTTGTCACCACTTTACATTCCCACAGCAATGCATGGGGGATATACATACAAGAGAATCTTGTTCTTATGTTACGTCAGACCTGCCTTACATTCTGGGAGTAACTCCAGCTTGGTCATATGTATATGTTTGTTTAGGTCTAATTGGTTTGTAGTGTTGTTCATGCCTCTGTTTGCTATTGACCTTCCATCTTGCTGTTCTATCCATTATTGAAAATGGGGTATTGAAGTGTCCAACTATTATTAAAGAACTATTTCTCCCATCAATTTTGCTTCATATATTTTGGATTCTGTTGCTAGGTGCATATATATTTATATCGTTGTATGTTCTCGATGGATTGAACCTTTACTCAATATATAATGTCCTCCATCTTTTGTAACTTTTTTTTTTTTTTTACTTAAAATGTACTTTGTATGACAGTAATACATCCCTTTTTTGGTTACCTTGAGTATCTTTTTCATCCTTTTTGTGTCTCTAAAGTGAGTCTCTTGTGGGTAGCATATAGATGGATCAGGTTTTTTGTTTTTTTGTTTTATTTTTTAAATATATCTTTATTGATTTCAGAGAGGAAGGGAGAGAGAGAGAGAAACATCAATGATGAGTCATTGATCGGCTGCTTCCTGTGCACCCCTGACTGGGGATCGAGCCCGCAACCCAGGCATGTGCCCTGACCTGGAATCGAACTGCGATCTCCTGGATCATAGGTCAGCGCTCAACTGCTGAGCCATGCCTGGCTGGGTGGATCACGTTTTTTAATCCAATCTGTTTTAATTGACTTTAAATTTACATTTAAAGGAGGATTTACTTTAGCTACTTGTTTTCTATGTCTTCTATGTTTTGTGTTCAATTCTTCCATTACTGCCTTGCGTTATTTTTTGCAGAATACCATTTTGATTCCCTATTTTACTGTTCTATATATCTTTTAGTTATTGTCTTAGTGGTTACCTTGGTGATCACAATTAACATCTTAAACTTTTAACAACATAGTTTAAATAATACCAACTTCGTTTCAATAGACTAAGAATACTCTGCTATACATCTCCATNTTACCTTGGTGATCACAATTAACATCTTAAACTTTTAACAACATAGTTTAAATAATACCAACTTCGTTTCAATAGACTAAGAATACTCTGCTATACATCCCCCTCTGCCTGTGTATCTTCACAGGTCACAACTGTTGTACGGGTGTGGCCATTAATGGAGATTCAAAGTTATTGTTTTCTACATTTGTATAAATTGTATAGGAGAAAAAGAGGAGTTACAAACCAAAAGTATGATGCTAGCTTTTAGTTTTTCCTATGCAGCTACCTTTAATGGCTTTGGATTCCTCTCTACCATCCTTTCATTTCAGCCTGAAGGACGTTCTTCAGTATCTCTGGTAGGGCAGGCCTACTGGTAACCAACTCCCTCTGTTTTTCTTTAACTGGAAATAATATCTCCTTCATCCTTGAAGGATAGTTTTGCCAGGTTTTTCTTTCAGGACTTTAAATGTCATCCCACTGCCTTCTGGTTTCCATGGTTTCTGATGAAAATCAGCTCTTAATCTTATTGAGCTCTGAAACGTGACGGGACACATACAACAAACCAGGAGAATGCTTGATGAAGGGAGAGGCTCTATCTTTTGTAAGAGAGCAGAGTGTGTGAACCAGCTACCCATTCTTCAGCCCACTGAAGTGTGAGGAAAGCGACCCACACTCCTGGAGCAGTGGGCTGGTGCCAGGGCTGGCAGTTGGGCCTTGTCCTCTGACAATTTGGGTTGTGCACTTTGGTTGGTCTGGCAGTTCCAGAGCTCCAAAATAGTTGATACCAGTTGCTTTTTCCAACTCAATGGTTGCCTCAGTGGACGGACTGACCTCTAGTGGTGCCTATTTTGTCATTTTATGTGATATCAACTCTCTACATTCCATTTTACAGATGAGGAAACTGAGGAATAGAAAAGTTCAGGAACTTGCCCGGAGTGATGCTAGGATTTAGAGCTCAGGCTCTATGCCTTCAGTGCCATAGCCTTAACCACTTCAACACACTGCCTCACCACATTATTTGCACCTGAAATGTATTTTTCTATTCTCCCTTAGACAGAAAAATTTTAAAAGAACGCTAAAATTAGGAGCGAGTTAGTCATCTGATCTCCAAGAAGCCTAACTCAGGGCTTTTCTCCCTGCTAAATACCTCAGGGACAGGGAAGACCACATTCTCCTGAAATCCTGAATTAACATAACTCTTTCTATGATATGTGCCAATTTACTTTTCTAGATTTACCTAAACTGGCTATCTGTAGGTGTAGTAAGTATTTTACATGGTCTTGTCCTTCCCCACAGGCACAACTACAAGAGCGAAATGACCCTCAGCAACTGCTGTTAGACTACAAGCACATGTTTCCTGTTTTGTTCCCATTTAATCCATCTGCTCTGACTATGGACTCAATCCACATCCCAGCGTGTCTCAATCTGGAGTTTCTCAATGAAGTCTGAAAATGCACATTTCCAACTTTGGCTCGATTGCCAGTGAGAACAAGAAAGTAGTATACAGTAAAGTGTTCTAAGGATCTGTTCAATCTGTAAAAGTGGATCAAATCAGAGAGAGGGTGTGAAGAGTGCTGAACTATACAGAATAAGAACATATCTGTCATTATTTTTTGTACCTACTGCTCAGAATAAAAACACTTGAAATATGGAAGGTTTTTTTAAAGTATGATTTTAGTATAAACAAGTACATATTATAATCTACATCACCAAGTAGTCCTCATGGCCATATAAAAGGTGCCAAGCTAGAAAATGGAAACTGACTAGTTTTGATCGTTGCATATAACTGGAGAATGTCCAAAATAAAATATTAAAAATATGTATAAGTCACATAAATTGCCTTCAGAGACCCTTAAATAATGGTACTAAAAACCATAACACTATCATACAGTGTGACATTTTCCCAGATCGACAAACTATAGGTATGAATGAGTTTGTGAGGAAGTGTTTTGAGAGAAGAATACAAGCCTGGGCCTTCTGAGAAGTTCCCCAAAGATATTTTTTAATGCCTGGTGATGCAGAGACAATGGTGTAATTGACCTCCAGACCAATTTTGAGTATTGGTTTCTGAAGCAAAACTAATGACACAGTTCTTATGTGCTCACTTTTGTGCAGCCTTGAGTTGATGGAAGTTATGCTAAAAAGGTGGCTGTCCCAAACTAAAAATGTGAGCAAGACATTTCCAATGCTAGTCCATGCACTTATTGAGTCAACAAAAAATCTATATAAGCTAAAAGTTAGAGAAGAGTAACGACTTGTTTTATTCACAGATTAAGAACTAAGTAAATCAGTACAAAAGCCTTTAATCCCTTAATGCCATTAAACCTCCAGTAAGAATATCACATAATGCACTGGTTATTCCAGAAACCAAAATAATAAAGGAAAACAACCCACCTTGAGCATCAGATTTCAAAAACCCTTCTAAAAGACAGTTTCAGGGATTAAGTTATTATCCAGAAGATTTTGTGGTGTGGTGTGTGTGTGTGCTTTTAAAAGAAAGAAAAACTTATGTCCTTTCTTCATGTTATTTTCAACATTTTTCAAATTTATCACATAAAAATCGTAAATATCTCTGCTTTGAAATAAAGATTAAAAGTATTTGGTGATAATATTACAACAGATTTTTTATGTTTGCTGCTTTCACAAATTTTTCTTCATATCTTCAAAAGCAGGCACTCAGTTAGAAAACCCTACATATTCTTTACACCCTTGCTTTACTATTTTTTCCATACTTCTGGTAGATAACAGTATCCTGTTTCCATGACAAGAACCGATGGTGTTTGCAAATCTTAGAGCCTCTATATCAAGATTTCTCCATGAAATACACACAGAACACCCTGCCACACATCCCCCCCACCCACACACCTTCTCTTATGTAGCTGCTCAACTTGAAAGGCTCTTGGAAACACACCAAGCCCTAAACAATCTGTGTACTATGCCCTTACGGCTCAGCTTCCTGGATCATTCTCCTTGCCCACCAGGCAGAACAAGACAGCACCTGGGAGAAGACTGCTGACCACCGTGTCCAAATCTGTCATTGGCATTATCCCTCCACCTCCACCTGAAACATCCTGGCTGCTCTTGGGTGTCTACACAGAGCTGTGCCTTCTTTCCCAGTTACAGTGACATAATCTGACATCCATGACACACCCCCTTCAACCCATACACTGCACGTTTGGAAGGCCAGTCAAAACAATTGGGTCCTTGGCTCCCTCTTTAAAATTGTTTATTAAGTATAATTACTTTTTATTGCACTGCTGTAGTTTAAAACAGTCTCTCATATACTGTCCTTAATCTTCAAGATAACCAAAAATGCCTTGTCAGTGTTAAGGAGTTGGAAAGCAGTGACTCCATATGTGTGACCGTTTACTGTCCTTGCATCCTGTCTGATACCCTCCTTCTCTCCATCTCTTTGGGTCACTACCTCTCTGCTGTCACTGGTTAATCACCAGGTCCCAAGGACTCACTGAATAAAAGCTTGGCAATTACAAGTGGGAAACTTATAGTCCTAAGAAATTGCAAATTTAGTTCTTTTCTTCCAAAATATAAAGGTATTTCACTGGAACTATACTTAATTTATATATACTTAAAAACAAATAGTCTTTTATAGACCACTAACAAGAAACATAGTAATTGGTTACTTAAGGTTTAGATCTGTCCTACTTAACATAACACTTAGAGACTGAAAGAAGCATCTTTAGGGAAACTTTAATAATCTTTTGTTAGCATTTATATTTTGCATTTTTTAAAGTCAGTTCAACTCAAACTTTTTCCAACTTCATGAAATCAATTCTTAATTTAAATAACTTAGTTCAACATAAAGGTTTGAACTCTGCTCTAGAGATCTATCTATTTTTTAATATTTATAGTTCAGTTGACACTTTCACTATGTGCCTTTAGCAGTTACTAAGATAACCGACTTAACACTTAGTTCTCTGAAATCAGTGTTGCTGTGGGAAGAATTTTAATGCTCGACATAAATAACATCATGGTGGAGTTTTGTCTTTGAAACAGAAGCATTTTAAAGATTACTTAAGAATCAAGGACATATAAACAATTTGTGTTTTAAGTATTATGTGGGACCTACCTGTTTACTATTGCAATGTGCGTTATGTACGTAATAATTGAAGCTGACAGGCATATTCCTGGCATGCATTCTCCCTGGGCCATCAGACCCGGGTTACATTTATGGGCTTGGCAAGCAGATTAGACCCAAAGGAAAAGACTTTTCCCCCTTTTCATTGAGCATGTCAATAGGAGTTTCTTCTCGATTTTCCTATACTAAATTTTAAGGCTTTTGTAAACAAAAGACAAAACTAGGAACTTGGAAAACAGAAAAATAACAGTGCTACCATCAATTCATCAAATATTTACTTAGAGCATTCAATAATGCATTTAGATTATAGTAACAAATAAATTAGAATCAATTTCTTTGGCATACAGTAAATCTATTGTTTTCATACAGTTGACCTAATTCTAAGGCAACAAGGGTGTCCTAAATCCAAGCCCTTTTTTAATGCCTGTATGATTGAACAGTTATTAAAATGTGACAGCATGGGAGGGACCCTGTGTTTTTCCTCATCAAGTTAATTTGCTGCATGAGCCAAATAGCCATACTTACTTTTTCTACACACGTGTGCCATAATTAGAGTTAGGGGGTAATTAGAAAAACAGAGGTTGATGCCAATGACAATAAGACATAAGACAATTTTCTCTCATAAGGTCATTAGATACTAAAGACTGTTTTTCCTAAAAAACAAATTTCTAATTCTGATCAAGGGGATCAATCAGAAATGAATTCAGCTACTTTCTTAAGTGATACTGTATCAGAATAATCCAGATCTGGATACAACACTTTGCTACCAAGTGATGTTTAGATGAAGGACTGCCTGTCTGACAGGGTTCACATATTCAGGGGTGAATCTAACATTGCAGGAGAAATACTAATAAAAAATATTTTTCCATTTTGAACAAATCTGTAAACTACACCTTTGTTTATGGAAAAATGCTTGTACTAGTCACTGTAATATTCAGCTATGGATAAAAAATTTGTGGAAATAAATACTTTTGAATAAAGTGCTGTGATAGATGTAAATGAAATTTAAAACTGTAGCTACACATTGGCTGAAAAGGGTTTTTTTAATGCTTTCTTGAGAAACATCATTCTGGGGCCTATATTCACACATGCATCATGACCGTTTAAACCAGAGGCTGGTGAATGACAGCCTGCAAAAGTTGGGGTGGGGGACATTTTCCCTATAAAATGACAAGACTTACTGAGACATTAATTTCTAAAGAATTCAAACAAGGCAGTATGGTGTAGGAAAATTCAAGTCATATGTAAAACTTTGCTCATGGTAAAGATGGCATTAAAAATCAGTGGGAAAATATAAGATCTGTATAGAAGAATTTATAAAATATAAATGAAAACCACTGACATAAACAATACTGGAGACATATTTCAGGGATAAAATGTCAACTGTCCCAAAGTCGATCTATAGATTAAAACTCAAAATCTGACCAGTTTTTTGGTGAAAGCTGGCAAGATAATTCTAAAATTTACATCAAAGAGCAATGGCCCAAGGATAAGGAAGACCCTCTTGAAGAAGAGGGAAAACTTTCCCTAACAGGTATCTAAAACTTTAGTAATTAAGATGGATGGAATTAGCACAGAGAAAGAAAAAATAACCAATGGAACAAAAGAGAGCGCCTAGAATCTGAATGCCTATATGGAAACATAGGTAAGCTGTTTATTCTCAAATCACCTGGAAATCTTATTTAAAATGTACATAACCAGCCCTGCCCAAATGTATACAATAAGACATTTCTAGAGACAGTGCCCTTAAACACCTACCATTAGGAACCACTAGTGAAATATTTCATGATACAGAAAAAAATGTTCATGACATATTGGTCAGCGAAAAGTTACCTCTAATCTAACTACCAACCTAAAGATGGACTCACCTCTTTTCAGGGTGGCTGGTGGAAGATAGCTCTCTTCAGGAAAGCCTTTGCCTCATATCTAGAGAGGTCTAGGCTTCTTCAAGACCTCACCAGGAGCTTCCAGTCAAGATGGTGGTGTAGGTAAACACAGTACTCATACCCTCTCACAACCACATCAAAATTACAACTAATCTAGAGAACAACCATCATTCAGAACCACCTGAAATCTAGCTAGACAGAAGTCCTACAACTAAGGATATAAAGAAGAAGCCACCTTGACACTGGTAGGAGGGGCAAAGACAATGAACAGGCTGGTCCCACACCCAAGTGTGGTGGTTAAACATCGGAAGGGGTATCTCAGCCTCAGAAGTCTGCCCTGAGGAGCGAGGGGTCCCAGCCCCACACCAGGCCCCCCTGCTCAGGGTTCCAGTGCCAGGAAGAGAAGCCCCCATAACTTCTGGCTGTGCAAACCAGCGGTGATTGAGGCCGGGGTGGACAAACTGCTGGAGTCCCAGGTGTTCCCCTTAAAGGGCCTGGGCATGGACTCACTAGGACTCACTCCCTCTGAGCTTGGTAAGGACATAGACACCACAAATAACTTTCAGACAGAAAGGAGACAAACACAAATACATATCCTTCATCTAAGTTTGTGATAATGTCTTAAGGCTATTGGAAATACACCAAGACTTAAGATAAATTTAAAATGAGGAAGTTCAGCAAATCAGTGTATTACTTTCTGTTTACATTTCATTTCTGATGTGCTTGTTTGGCAACTTGAACTTTCTAAAGAGTAGGAATTTGTTGTAAAGACAAAACCATACCTAACCTAATAATTGCCTTTTAATTAACAAAACTTGAAGTTACCACCGAAGTGGTCAGATTAACAGTGAGCACATACATAACTTTCCAAAGTTCTCAAGATCAGCAAATTCTTCTGTCTCATTCATTCAAATTCATATACTCATTTTAAATAATTGTCCTAGCACTCCTACCTACTTTACCACCATTCCTGTTTCAATTCCTGAAACTTTTAAAGCCATTGCTGCTTAACCTACCATCAATTTTGAGTGTTATGGGAAGTTTAAGCATAGGAAAATTATCCAAAAAATGTGGGGGGAAAGGCTAAACCTACATATTTATGAAATCTTAATACTAGAATTTATAGATTTACAATAGTGTCACTGATTTCCAGTCTTATGCTAATGCTACTACTCTCTCTCCCCCAAAAAAATAAGTACAAAAAGAAATGATAACAAGGCATTTCTACATATACTCAAAGCTAAATGCCTAGGAATAGAACAACTTTAGATATCATGAGAGGGTCTACATCTAGTCCAAAAAAATTATAAAGTAAGTAATTTTGATATATATTTAGTGTTGTATAAGATATACCTGGTTATATATGGCTAAATATGAAAAGGACTATATATTTTAGAAAATAATTTATTTCAGGTAATTTTGTTGCCTACTTGAAAGACACTTTTTCTACCAATTTTTATCCTGAAAAGCTAAAACTCTACAGAAAAGTTGTAAAAGTAGAACAAGGCACAACCACATGCTCTTCTTTTAGGTTCCCTAATTGGTCTTATTTTGCCATACTTGCTTCCTCTCTTTCTCTGCCAGTTTATTTGTATGCATTTCTTTTCTGAGACATTTGAGAATTAGTTGCAGACATCAGACTTTTCAGCTCTAAACATTTCAGTGTCTGCCTCCTAAGAACAAGTGACAATCTCCCTTATAACTACAATATAATTAACATAATCAGGAAAAGTAATGTCAATACTACTATCTCATAGAATTTATATTAAAGTTGCCCCAATTATCCCAATTCTGTTCTTTAGAGTTATTTTTTAAATACAGGTTCCAATTAAAGATCCTACACTACATATAACTGTCATGTCTCTAGTCTCCTTTAATCTGTACCACTCCCAGCCTATATTGTTTTTCAGAACATTGACATTTCTGGAAAAGTTCAGGTCAGCTGCTTTGCAGAATGTCCCTCAGTTTGCATTTGTCAATTGTTTTGTAATGATTAGATTTAAGACAGACATTTTTTGGAGAAATCCTACATAGGTAAGGCTGTGTCCTTCTCAGTGCATCAAGGGGGCGCATGATGTCATTTGTCCCATAATTGGTGATGTTGGCGCTGGATCATTTGGTTTAGGTAATACCCATAAGATTTCTCTATTGTAAAGATACTTTTCCCTCTTCATGATACTTTCTTTGAGACTATGTAAATATCCTTACATGTCTTCGTATATGTAAGTCTTTTACCCAATGGTTTCAAGACTCATCCACTTTAGTGACATTTCTAATTACAGAAAACTTAGTAAATTTGGAAGGACTTGCTGCTAGTGATTTGCAGGGTACTGAGTGGGAAATGGTGACACTTAATGATGGTAACTCAAAAAATATGTAGAGGGCAAACTGAATAAAACACGCCTTCGCCCGGCCGGGTGTGGCTTAGCGGTTGAGCGTCAACTTAGGATCCAGGCGATCGGGGTTCAATTTCTGGTCAGGGCACATGCCCGGGTTGTGGGCTTGATCCCCAGTTGGGGGCGTGTAGGAGGCGGGCAATCAATGACTCTCTCATCATTGATGCTTCTATCTCTCTCCTTCTCCTTTCCTTTCTCTGAAATCAATAAAGATTATATTTTTTTTAAAAAACACACAAAAAAACACAAAACATGCCTTCTCTTATTATAGGAAGCTACATCCCATATCAACAGTTCTATAGACTGAGAATTTTCTCTGCATTTGGATTATTACGAACTTTTAATTTAAAAAACCAGAACTTTTGTTGTTGTTTTTTCCACTGATTTTCAGGGAGGGGGGGAGGGAGGGAAACATAGATGTGAGAGAGACACAGATTGTGTGCTTCCCACATGCATCCCGACTGGGGCTAAAGATCACACCTGCCACCAGGTACGTGCTCTTGACTGGGAATCAAACCCTCAACCCTTTCGTGCAAGGGCCAACATTCTAGCCGCTGAGCCACACCAGCCAGGGCAAAAAAACAAGAACTTTTAAAGATGTTTATTAGAAGTACAAACTGGTAGTCACAAAATAGTCATGGGATGTATAGTACAGCATAGGGGATGCTGTAGATAATACTGTGATAACTATGTACAGTGGTGCTAGGTGGATACTTGAAATACCAGGGAGACCACTTTGTAAAGTATATGACTTTACACCTGAAACTAACAAAAAATAATACTGAATGCAAGCTTTCAGTATTAAATTTTTAAAAAAATAAGAGTTTCTAATAAAAAATAAAGAAAAACAGTAACAATGACAACAACAGCTCACCATAGTAGCACCATCTCTATATATTTACAGAGATTTCTGGTTAACTAAAGTTAACTAAACTTGGATTGCTCATAGCAGTGGGAACAGACCACATTGTCTTGGCTGTAACTGTAGTTATCACTAGGAGGCTGTTGTGCTTACTGTTGCCCAGTGGTCAAGATTTTAGTTTAAACAACTGCAAGACTAGAAAGTGAATCCAACTTGGGGGAAGAAAACAAAAAAGATGTTTATTCCCTCCATTATTGTATCTCACATTTAGGCATAATTTACTTTACATGAAAATAAAAATTGGAGAACATATGCTTCATTACAAAATACACAGTTGACTAGCTTAAGTTCACTGAGTGTCAGCTTGAGAAAAAAAATGTGTTGATTTTGGCTCACCTAATGACTTCCTTTTTGGCTTCGATTTTATTATAAGTAGCTATAATTCAATGATACAAATATTATTCAGCATCTCCCTGTGGACCAGGCACTATACCCACCCACCTAGCAGCATTTCTAATTTTTCTATTTTACATTCATTTTTAATAAATATTTACACTGAATTCAGTAACAAATCTGAGCAAAAGCACAAACAGTACTATGCATCCAGTGAGAAGACACTGCTAAACCAGAACTCGACAGGTTTTACCAAAAGGTCAGAGCTTTGTATTCTCAATCATGAGTTAAATATCAAAGTCCAAATACATCATAGCAATTTAGAGATGTCAATATGCAACACAAAAGGAAGCAGGTTGTATGAAACCCTACTGTGTAATTGCTCATAAAGGCCTTTCTGGCTGACACTGATGGTCACCTACACAATAGTCTTTTCCAGCTTC